CAGGCGAAGGTCAGGGCAGGCAGCAAACAATAAGAAATCAGAAACAGTCCAGGGTCAAAAACAAGGCAAGGCAGCAAGGATCAAGGAAAACACAAGTAACACGGGAACTAGGGAACGCTACAGGCTAGACAATACTGAGCAATGAATGAGAGAAAAAACAGACTTTAAATAGGGTGAGGCTGATGGAGGTAACAAGACACAGGTGAATGCAGTGATAAGTGATGAGTCCGGCAAAGAATTATGGGAAATGTAGTTAGTGAGAGTGGCAAGAGTCAGGGATGGAATGCACTCTGATGGAGTTCATGGGCACTCCGGCTGGAGATCGTGACAGAGCCCCCCCCACACACACTTAAGGAGTGGCTTCCAGACGCTCCCCAACGAGAACAGAAATGAGTCCAGAAAGGAGGTGGAGCGGAGGCGTAACAGGATGCAGGGATGGAGGGCCAGGTCCATGGAGGGGCGCAGCAGGGAGCCAGGGCGGAGCAGAAGACCACCAGCGCAGAGGAGACAGGACTGAACATCCCCACGGCAGAGCAGACGACCACCACAGCAGAGCAGACGGGACCGAAGATCCCCACGGCGGCACAGACAACCACCACAGTAGAGCAGACGGGACCAAAGATCCCCACGGCAGAGCAGATGACCACCAGGGTGGAGCTGATGGTGCAGGAGACAACCAAGGTGGATCAGGCAGAACTGGAACAGAGAGCATAGAGAGTTTACCAAAGAGCTCTGCGGCCATAACAGGACAAGTAGAGAGTTCATCAATGTCCTCCTTGGCCATGGCTGGACAGGCAGAGAGTTCACAGATGGTCTCTTTGGCCATGACAGGACAGTCAGAGAGTTCACAGACAGCCTCCATGGCCGTGACAGGACAGTCAGAGGGTTCACAGGCGGCCTCTTTGGCCACAGCTGGACAGTCAGAGAGTTCACAGGCGGCCTCTTTGGCCGCGGCTGGACTGGCAGAGAGTTCAAAGGCGGACGCTGCCTCTGGAGGAGCTGGAGTGGACGCTGCCGTTTCAGGAGGAGCTGGACTCACTAGAGTCATTGGAACAGGGAACGGCACTCCTGGCCGTGATGAGGGAACTGGAGTCATTGGAACAGGAAACAGCACTCCTGGCCGTGACAAGGGAGCTGAAGCGGACTCAAGGGCTGGAGCGGGCTCTAGAGCAAGTACCGAGACTTGCTACTGCCAATACATCCACAACATGCTGCTGTAAGCATGTAAAAAATATTGCTGCTGCATATATAACATACATGACAACCCTTTCCCTCAAGCAGGTAACGTTATTATTGCTAACATAGCGGACTCATCGAAAAACACACTGGCATCATGTATTAAAGAGAAAATAATCACTTCCTCTGATTTTTAAGTGAATAAAATAGCCTTGACAGCCTTTTTTTTTAAATATAAAACACTGTTATTTACAATGCACATCGTGGTTTTTAATCATATTTTTAGGGGGGTCCTGTCCCCCCCGACCCCCCCAGGATATCCGCCTATGAGACCACGCAACACAGCGATATGGATTAGAAGAGCATTCAATTATCTTAGATGTTGATTTCACTGTTCTGAAGCAAGCTGCAACTGCTACAGCAAACACTAGTCATATATTTGAATGTTGAGCAGCGACCTCAATGGCTACCGATACAGGAGAGAACCATTACGTCAGATTGAGTTAGACCTATCGGACTGTGCCATCCAATACCGTTTCTAGGCATAGGCAAGCTAGGCAGTCGCCTAGGGCCCACCACCTGGAGGGGGCGCCAATGAGCGCATGTACTGGCACTACATTTTAGCAGGGTTGTGATAAAGAGTGGCACGGCCACCCTGAAATATGATTGCTGCCTCCACTGGATCCCCCAACATTATCAGGCTACAGTACTCACAATCTGACGATGCCTGTATGCCATTTGGATCAGAGCGCTGTCAATTGCTGCCTCTGATTGTTGCATGCAAAGTTTGCATTTGGAGTGCTCAACAATGACATTAGGTCAATGGGTTCTGTCAGTGCTTTGGCCAGGTAAGACTTTTCTTTGCCATGCAATAAAGCTAAGTTCAAAGGCCAATTTAAATTGGCGCCGATGGCCTCGTGGGCAGCGTGCCGACATGTAGTGCCTTTGCGCTTTGGGCGTCCTGAGTTTGAGTCCCAGCTTGTGGACCTTTCCCGATCCCACCCATTTCGCTTCCTGTCGACCTACTGTCCTATCTGCATAAAACACCAAAAATAAATCTTTTAAAAAAAGGCCAATTTAAAATATTGGTACAGTAAAAAGTGCACAAAATCAGTATTTTTTAGGCAGTATTTGTAGCAGTCAAGAAATCATGTTGTGAATTTGTCCAAAAGGTGTGCGTTTTTGCGCCAATGCATTGTTAAAGGTTCAGTGTGTCGTTTAATATTCCCATATAAAACTTTAACAGCCAATTAAAAAATATTGGTGTAGTAAAATTCACTAATTCACAAGATAAATACATCCTTTATTAAACCGCTTTGTTGAATTTAATGCATCCTTACGGAAGTGTCGAAATGCTGAATCAATTAATTCACTTCCAACAGCACCCAATAGGAGCACAGAGGGCAGCGTGTCATGTTATTTAAAGGGGAAGTTCACGCTTCAAAGAGTAACAAATGAATAAGCAGCTGAATTCTGATTACTTTTATGCCACTGATCAGGCTTTTATATGTAGTTTGGGGTAAAAAAGGGTTTTATAGGTTTGACTGAAATAATTCTAATAGAGATTTCGCCTAGGGTGTCAAAATGGCTAGAAACGGCCCTGGCGCCATCTAGAGTTTCATGCCAGAACTCTGTATTTCAAAGCGGGTTTTTTTTTACAGCGATGTCATAGTAGAAGAACCATTTTTAACCTTTCAGTTTCTCATGTTTTACTGGGTTTCATGGATGCCAACAAAGAACTTTTATTTTTAAGAGTGAACTTCAACTATAAAACCTTTAACATAAAAACTAACAAAGGATGAGAAGTAGCTAGTTGTAAACACATCTGTCACCCTCCAAAATCTAAAACCATACAATCATATGTCATAAAAATATATTTTAAGTTCACATTTAGTCTTGTAACATTTAGCAATCCTAATACTGCAAGAGTTTTCACAATTTTAAGAGTAATGTTCCTTATAATTGAGACACACAGGAAGTGACATCATTTGAGCCTCTTCTACGACATTGTGGGAAGAAAAGTACAGACTCTTGTTCAGTTTTATCAAGCTTTACACAAAATGCAGTGTTCACTGCTTTCATTAAGCTCAGCCATAATATATGATACATAATATTTGGTCTCAAACTAACAGACTAATTCAGGATATTATTTATTTATTTATTTATAGAGATAAAGTCCATTATGGTTAGAATTTACAAGTGAAACCACTATATAATATATGTGGTTTGAGGTTGTTCTTCAACGACTTTTTTCACTGATGATTTGCTGAAAGAGTTCATGTGTTTGTTTGTTTGTTTTTTCTTTCAATAAGAAACATCAGAGAACCAAACAAGAACAAGAGGGGGATACAGAAGAAGAAGAAAAAAATAGTAATAATAATAACAACAACAACAATTAAACTTTTTATTTTTCCATGTGAATTTAAAATTAAAGGGGTCATATGATGCTGCTGAAAAGAACATTATTTGCTGTATTTGGTGTAATGAAATGTTTATGCGGTTTAAGGTTAAAAAAACACATTATTTTCCACATACTGTACATTATTGTTTCTCCTCTATGCCCCGCCTTTCTGAAACGTGTCGATTTTTACAAAGCTCATCGGTCTGAAAAGTGTGCTCTGATTGGCCAGCTATCCAGTGCGTTGTGATTGGCCGAATACCTCAAGTGTGTGACAGAAATGTTACGCCTCTTACCATACTGTGATGCCCTGTCCGGCCGGAACGACGAGACAAAAACATGAAAAGCCATTATAAACCAGGCATTTGTTGCATCCAGTGGGGACATAATTACTGATTATAATGACTTACACTGTCTTTTTATCGTGCTGCGTAACCATAAAACCATGTCTGCATTTGTGATCGGAGAAATGACAAACAACAAGCCCTACTCTACACTGCTCAAAAAACTCACTTAATTATAAAAAATATTAAAACTCTTTAAATATAAAAAACGTACTTACAGTCCTCTACCAGGATCAGGAAACAGTCCTCCATAAAATGTGCTGCACACATCTGAATATTTGGGTTGAAGTGTTCTGGAACAGTATTGTAAATACAACTTAACCACTGATTTCTAGTCGTGTCCATTTTTGGAAGACCAAACAAAGTAGTTTCCCTTTCACAACGAAACAGCGTCACACACGGTGGCCTAGATGTGAGCAGAGGCGGCGGGCTTGAGAATGAAGCGGCCGGTGATTTCGACGAAGGAGCGTCCGGAAGGACATGTGACGACTCCGGGCTGGACTCCGCTTCGTCCACGGTGAAAGCCGATCCGGCGATCCACAGCGCAAAGTTGTTGTAT